TTCATATTTTAGGATGAGGAATGCATATCCACTAATCTTTCTCTCCCCCTCCTCTCCACTTAATCTTTTTATCATTAGATCAAATTTAAACGATTGAGATTTATTTTATCAGAATATTATTAAAATATTAAATAATAAATAATAAAAACTAGATAAATAAATTTATGTTGTTAAAAGTCAAGTCAGTAGAGAAAGGATTTTCCTTTGGAAACGAACAGCACGATATATATTTGCTAACCAGAGATGATATTAGAAAGCACAAGAAAAAGTATGACTTTCTGCATATCGGACTTGTGCAAGTTTATTTTGTACCATATCATATCCCTGGTATTGATCACAGAATCTTAGTATGCTTGCGAGATGCGAAATATCCAAACTTGAAAGACTCGGTCTTAGCAGCGTTAGAGATCAGTTTGCATAATGGTAGAACAAAGTTCAATTGGTTCCCAAATTTCTCGTCATCTTTATCTGAACTATCAAACTCCAACGGCTTGATGATAACTGCGGAGCCACATGGTCTTTCGGTTATAGAAGGTTCTTGTATGTTTGGGATTACCTGCAGAATGTGTTATAAACTGATGAAGGGGTCTCTTGAACCCAGATCACAGTTTGAAAATCCTTTGTTGGAGGTGAAAACTGATAAGATAAAAGTTCTTGCGCCAAGAACCACAAAAGGGAACTGAAGCGAATGGGTTCAGTGAAAAGTCTCATTCCTGGCAAGTACAAGCTAGTAGTTTAAGTTTATCCTTCTCTGTAATCGTTTGCAAACTTTTGATGAAGAATGTATAAATGAAGTTCATCTGGTAGTACATCTAGTTTTGGGTTTAATGTTTGGTTTTAGCTATGTTTTATTATGTCTCTGATTTGTAAATCCTACTTTGCATGTATTTATTACTAAGTTTCATCTGCAAGCCAGAAGATGGAATTATTATTTGTATTTGGGGGTTCTTTTTTTTTTTTTTTTTTTGCCTGAATATTTGGAGTTCTTTTGATGGAAAACAAAATGGATGAAAAGTCGTTGTCCACCATCCTGTATATGGCTCTTAACTTTACACGCACACCGTCTCGGAAGCTTCCCATCAAACCAAGAAGCTAGGACCATGTGAAAATAAGCAAATTGAATTTGCTCATTAACACATCTTCTTTAAAAGAGTGACATAAAGTTAGGTAAAATTGAATTCAGCACCTATGAATATTTTTCTCTAATTTTATTTGGGAGACTGTCAAGGAGTACGCAAGAGTTCAATTTAATTTAGAATTATATTTTTAATTTTTTTTCTTTACAAAATTTTACACCAACAATTTGACACTGCTGAAAAATCAATTTTGGTTGCAATTGACAAGCTCAAGCCTAGAAAAGGCAAGCTTGAAAGCCCATCTACCTTAAAAATTTAATGCTACGTTACGTCTGATCCTTAATATAAGAATTTGTTTGACTTTTATTTTGATCTTAAATATAAGATCCTAATCAACTTTACTTTTTATATTTATCTATTTTTTTCAAATTAGTTCTTGTAATAATGTACTTCTAGCTAATACATTTGATTAGCAAGAATATTTGAGAAAAGACAATACGTATTTATTACAAATAACTAAAGTAGTTTCCTTAATCTATTTAAATTAGTCAATAACTCTTATATTGAGGATTAGAGGTAGCATTTTTTAAGCTAGCGCTCCTCAAACATGCTAGATTTAGGCTTTCTTTCTTTTTCTTTTTCTTTTGCTAAATTTATATTTTTTATTTATTTTGAAATATTAAAAAGTAAAAGAATAAATCTCACGAAATTTATAATTCATATCATAAACATTACGAAAAATGAAGTTCCAAATTATAGTCCAAACTTGCAAAACTAAACCAAATGAAATAATTGCTAATTTAATGAAACCTAGCAAGTGCATATAGCTTAAAAAATGATCTCAAAACATTTATTAAATTTCATGGATTGTCAAATTAAAGTTATAAAATATAGTGATTTTCATACATACTAATGATTAATGAAAGAACACAATACCAGTAAGCTTTGACTGAAATGGCATCAACCCACCCTTCTTGTTAAGGAGGTTGGGGCATAGATCCCCATATGACTAAAGGGGAAGCGTCTATGCGTATTGTGTTTGGGCGGGTAAGTGAATCCTTCCCCAAAAAGGGTTGGGATAGATGCAAGAAAACAAAATGAAAGAATACATTAGAAATTTTTTTTTTAAAAAAAAACACATTTAAATAACTCAAATTTTTATTTGAGTCTTTAAATTTGTCAAACCCTTAATCAGGTTATATGACCCAAAGAGAAATGTTAAAATTTTATGAAATGACTCTAATGTCTATTTTATTAAAAATTAAAAGAGAATTCTAAATTAATATATATACAAAAAAAAAAGTTTCAATATTTCATAGTTAACACATTTCAATTCTAAATTAACTATTTTTTATTTCCATAACACACTTGCAATAAGTTTTTTAATAAAACTTGATCATAGTACAACTTTAAAAATTAATAACTTCAATTATGTAGTTAACAATTTTCAGTTCTCAATTAATAGCTTTAGATCCCTATAACACTTGCAGTAAGCATTTAAATAAAACTTGATCATGATACAACCTTAAAAAGTAACATGTTACATTTTAGAGGCAATATGTTTTAATTTAAATTAATAATTTTCTGTCTCCAAAGCACACTTATAATAAGTCTTGTAATAAAAAATGATCACGATACAACTTTAAAAATCAATAAGTTCAATTACAAAGTTAATTTGTTTCAATTCTAAATCAACAATTTAAAAATAAAAAAAATTTATTTTTTATTAAAATGATTTCATAAAATTTTAAAAAAAAAATTGGATCATATGACCTTATTAGAGATTTCATAAATTCAATAGTTAAGAACATAACTAGATCATCACTGAGAATGCTGACTACCAGATGACTACAGAGGCAAACAGCCCACCCTTCTTCAAGGCTGGTAAAAAGAATGCTGAATATTTTTTAATGAAATCAAGGGGCAAATGAATTTCACTCAACGCAAAAGCGAAAGAATCTTGACACATCAGTGCAATTATGAAAAGCAGACAGCCACGATGATAAAGTCTTGTCCTTTTCTTTTTTTGTTTCCTTCAATTGACTCTTTCTTGTTTTTTCTTTTTCTTGTTTTTGAATTTTGACCAGCCCTCTCTTGCTTTTTCCGAATTACCTCAAACGTGTTTCACTTCGTTCATGATTTCTTCTTATCATCCCAACGGTGAAAAATAAGGCCACATTCGCCACAGCTTGTAAAATGAAAAGGAGTGATAAATGGGGGGTGTTTGGGAAACCCAAAACCATGGTTTCAGAAGCACTTTTTCGTAAAACGAGATAAACTCCTTCACATATTTACTTCGTAAACTGTAAAAGCACTTTTGAAACCATGGTTTGATTTCTATCCAAACACCCTCTAAGAACATGTTTTCGAAGTTTGTTGGTACGAGAGGATAACAATAAGGAAGGAATGATAATAAGGGGAAAAATGAGAGTTATGATGTAAATTCACCTTGAAAGTTTACGTTTTGAAGCATTGGGTATTCAAAAAAATTTTTGGGCTCAATATCGCTCTTGAAGTTTGCAAATAACAAGCAATCTCGTCTTGGCCATTATCTAAGTTAAGTTTGACTGTTAGTTGGCCGATTATGCTGAGTTGGCATGTCCACGTATTATCCACGTTATATATTTTTTTTTGGATTAAGTGCACATTTGCCATAAAAGTTTACTCAGGAACGCTTGGTATCTAAAAATTTTCAAATTGTAGCAATGTTGTCCCAACTATTATTCATGTTAAATTTGATTATTAATTAACCAAATATGCTAAGCTAGTAGTTCCACTTATGATCCACTTCATATTTTTTAAGGTGAGGATTTAGTACTAACTTTGAAAAAAGAAAAATCATTGCTTCTATGCTTTCTAAGCCTGTGGTTATTCTTAAAATCGACTTCACCGTTTACATCTTTGAAAAATTCTTGTGAATTTCTTCTCTATATATATTATTTACTATTTTTTTCTCTACTTTTGTTCTTATAAAAAGCACTAAACTAAGAACAAATGACAAAATAATAAATGTATGGAAAGAGTTATTTTTGTGTAAAAGAAATGGCATCAGACTTATGAATCAAGAATGAAGTGGATAGCTTGGAAAAAAATGAAATGAATCACACATAGACCTGCTGGCACAACATATTTGGTTAGTTTAACATTTGGGACGATATAATTATAATTTGAAACTTTCAGACACCCAACACTCCAGAGTAAAAACTTCCAGAAAAATTTATATTTTAACTCAAAAAAAGAAAAAATGACGTGAAGGACACATGAACTTGCCAATTAAGTATAATTAGTCAACTAACAGTTAAACTTAACCTAAATAACGGCCAAACAATATTGCTATGATTTGAAAACTCCCCGGATAACATTAAGCCAAAAAATACTTTCGGATACCTAGTGCTCCTAAATACAAACTTATGAAACAAATTTGCATCTTATCTCAAAAACTTAATAAAACGTCAAAAAGGTGACTGTCATGTAAAGAAGATAAAATAAAACTATAATTAGTCCATAACTTTTTTTTTTTTTTAAATTTCAAAACTAATCTCCGTAGTTTAAGTCTATGAATATGATTTATAGTTTATAAAATTTAATTCTAACACAACACTAATAGAAAAAGCATTTTTTAGATCGTCCTATCTAGACCGTTCATTGTGGGACAGTTTAAAAAACGTGACTGGCGGCATTTTTATAAAACATCGATGTATATTTTACTCTGATTCCCCATAAATGAATCCTATAAGGAAGGTATTACAAAGCAAGTTGTTACGATGGTAGTGCAGCTTATAAAAAATTTTAAGAGATATATAACCATAGAAATATAGATGCAGAATTTACGAACTGAATAATTAATGGACTCGCAACCGATGTCATTAAAATAACTCGCTCCTGTAATAAAAAATGCTACCAATATGCCAAAACTCTAGAACATAATGTCAAATTGTTCCATAAGCATCATATAAAGAAATTGAAAAAACATAAAGTATTTACAGCACAGAAAATGAAAACAGAGTAATTCACTCATCCGCTCAATGCACCTTACTTCAAAAAAGTAAGAAATTAGTTGAACGAGGTTACATTAAATGAAAAAAAAAAAAAAAAGGATTTCGTTTGTGTAAAAGATAAGCGGGACTAACAATATGAAGAGACACCAAAACTCATGCGTTTCACTGACAACAAGAGATTTTTTTTCCCCACAAACTCCTGAAGAGTCCACCTCCAAGAATGGTATGAATAATTTACAAGGAATTAAAACATTACGAGAATATCCTATGACACGTGCCTTAAAAATTGGTCTTACGTCCTATATTATCCTAACCTTGAATCCATCAAGAACTTTCTGATCCTTTGGTCATGTTGCAGCGAACAATAATCTTCCGGAAATCATCTAGGCTTAGCTGGCACAGAGAAAATTATAAATACATAATTACAAAGGAAAAAAAAGGTAAACAGAGAAAATTCAAAGATAACACCTGTCAACAAAAAATATTGCCAGGAAGATTTTAGCAATCTTGAGTATGAAGGAGACAAAATCATCACGATTCATGTTTTTAAAGAACCAGTGGTAAAGCAAATGATCTCGTAATTCTAGGAAAAATTAGAGAAAAAGATCAATCCTGACATTCTCTAGAACAATTTGCTAACCCAAAATAAATAAATAAGTAAAAGGCAAAAGTGTATTTTTGTCCTCTATTTTTATATAAGGTCTTAATTTGATTCCTTAATTTTAAAAAGTATCTTGACTGCTCTAACCATAACATAGTTAACCCCAACCATCGCTAATTTTAAAAAATCAAATGTAATATATTAGTATTTGAGAATATTTTATCAACATTTAAAATTTTAATGGCAACATCTTTTTTGTTAATAAAATAAAACTAATGGTGTTAGCAAGGAATAAATTTTAAAATTAAGGAACTAAAATAAAATCTTCTGTGAAGTTAAAGACTAAAAGTATACTTTTGCCTCAATGAAAACATTGAAAAGAAGGGATGATAGTAAAAACACCACACTACTCACTAATTAGTAATTACTGATTGCTATGAAGTAGAAGTGAAACAAGAGCATTAAGCGCCTGCGTTACTCACCTTTCCATCGTTATCACTATCAAAGTAGTGGATCATGTCAGATAACTCCTTGTCTGTCCACACAAAATCATGAGCTGCAGCAACTCTTTGTAAATCCCTCATTATCACACTTCCTTTGCCTGTTTCTGCAAAACAGGCCTTTCCTCATCAGCGTTTAACAATCGAAAAATGAATATAAAGACGGCCAGAAAATGGGCTTCTTTTTTCTATAATAGTGAGATAACCATTTATTATAGCATTGTAAGGGCAGAAAGTGAGCCCCAAGGCCAACGGTTGAATTCTATGCTTTTTGAAAAGCTTTCACTGAATTTTCACTCATTTACAAGAATAAAAGGTAGTGTTTAACTTAGTCTTTTTATCGCTAGAATGTATGGACCCAAAATGAATGGCTTATAAAGAATGATGTCACCTTAAAGTGGACACTTCTATGCAATAATGTATCTCAATTTCAATAGAGCATACAGCTCCTCTATTCTAGATGTGGTACTAGTTAATGTGCTGCTCATGAATATTTTTGCCATCTTCATCCTTGCCTCAACAAACATAAATAGCAGCAAGAGGAGTTACCATCAATCTCGAAGAAGTGTACAATGACTTCATCCTCAGTCATTTGCAGTCGACTAGTAAACTATTGACAAAGATCAAATTATTAGAACAAAAACAACCAGTAGATAAAGGAATTGTAAGGATTAAAAACAATCCATGAATATTAAACCGAATACAAACTGATTTTTTGTTCTTCCTTCTCCCCTTATCTTCTTGTATGTGATCCTCTCTCTTTGTATCTACATGTGTAGTATTTGCTACATGCTTGTCAGTTAAACATGAGCCTTCAACGGATTCTTGCAGTGAAAGAGCGATTGCCTATTAACAAAAATCAGACGTTTAAGATCCATTGATTCATAGCATCAATCTGTTCAGCAATGTGGCAAGAAGGCTTAGGATCTATGAGAAATAAGAAATGAGAAATAGAATATTAATACCTGCTTCAAAGCTTCATCATCATCATCAATGTCATGTGACTTATTGCAAGGGTCCTTCTTAGAAAGTCTAGCTTTTGCTTTTGAACTGTTTTTCTTCACCTGCAATTGGTATTGACAAAAGTAACTGTAAATGTCAAGCATGTGTATTGTGCTAGTGAAATATCATAGTGCCACATCAGAGAAATTTAGTTTAACTGCTTTCTCATTAAGAACTTGCACAAAAGCAAGGAGATATCTAGGAAAGGAAATCTTTAATAGTACTGCTAAAACAGATATTAATGTATAAAATGTGACATAAAATTAAGCTTCTCAAAGAAACAGAATTGTGTAGACAGATTTCAGATGGAATCCTTGAGTGTGCCACAGAACAGAACCAGGCAACTTTAATCTTCCATTAGGTTAATCCTACATTCCCAGCATGTAAAATTAATTTAATATTTATAAGTTGATGAACAATACAAGACGTTAGCTATAAGATTTATGGCGGCTTACATACAGCTTGTAAATTTTATAGATGCTATCGGCTTTAAAGAAATTCACAGTCAGATATAACTATAACAGTACATGAGTCATGAGTCCAAAAAGAATGAAAGAATTCACCGAAGTAGAATATTGACAAAATAACTAAAATGAGAAGACTGATAGGGCTAAAATCCTTTCTTTCATATGAAAATATCAACTGAACTCAGTACTTGATTCATAGTCTGAATCTGATATGGGAGCTATCATTCTCTAAGGGCCCAAGTACAAAGCTAAACAAGCAACTCATGTGAATCCAACCATATCTCTGAAATGCTTTGCAAATGTTATACAAATTAAGAAAATATATATTATACAAATATCACTTTTTTTTTAACAAGTGTTCCTAGCCCTGACTTGGGCGCTCCATCCCTCACCCCACTCAATATCCAAATGTCTGTAATGCTGCACTTATTGAGAAAACAATTAAGTATTGTTGTGGTCCACACACAATATAAAAAGACCATTCCATAGAACTCATCAGCCCAATCACAAGGCTTACTAGTAACTATTCTTTACAAATTCTATGTAACTTTGATCTCAGGAAATCTAAAATCTTCCTTCAAGGAGATTCTTAATTTAATGGAATGTTAATCATTGTTTAATTTGAATAGTTTACGCTTCACTATTAATGAGCTCTCACTTGCCACAAAACCAAACAAACAGCAAAAGTTGTTTGACCAGTGTGATGTCTGCGCAGGAATAAGATTTTGGTAGTATAATCCATAAAATGAAAGCAAAAGGTGAAGATTTTCAGCAGAGATATGTAAATCTGACTAGCAAGAAATAGACACCTTATATCCATAGCATAATAAAACGGGAGCTAACATAGAAGCAAAGCACATAGATGGAGGATCTGTCCTAATACTCTCGGATCTTCCTCATGTTGTGCACACTTTGTGGGATAAGACTTGTTGTCGTGCACACCATAGAACAATTAAAAAATAAGTTTATCTTTGTGGGCATTGTCATTTTCTTATGTTTCAAAACATCAATTAAATAAACTGTCCAGAAAAATAATCAGGTGTGTCATATTTTCTTCTGGTCATCCTCGTTACGATTCCATTAATATCACTGCAGTGGTCTGATGACATTTTATATACAATGACAGCGGACATCTATTAGACACATTGTGGAATAAACCCACGAAGCCAAACAGAGGAAAGTTTTACAACCTAAAGATAGATGATCCACTTACCCTAACTACTACAGGAGCAGAGAATTCGAAGTTCCACTCACAAACAATTCTTTGCAACCGAGTTTCAAAGAATAAAATCACCCACACAAAAAAAAAAAAAAAAAGTACTTCCAGACAAACCATAAGCCCAGATTCTAATTTTTCCCCCCTCAAATGAGTAAAGAAAACAACATAGAATCACAGGCGATTAAAGCTGAAACATTTTCACAACCCACCTTTCTTTTCCTTGACCGGGAAGCTTTTTCACCGACAAAATCCTCATCATCGTCATCATCATCATCATGCCCATCCTCTCCGCTCGAAGAACTTAATCTCGCTTCTGCATCATCAGGCACGTATTCTTCATCGTCCCCAACCTTCTTTTTCCCTTTCTCATCGGTAACATTGTGACCTCGGCACTTCAAAGAGGAAGCCATTTTGGGCAACCCTAGAGCCTTCAACCTTGCTCTGTTCTCCGCAATTCTACAGAGCCTCTGTTTCTCGTACTCCGAGACGCATAAAGGATGGCCATGGGTAGCAGCTTCAGCCTCCTCTGAGCTTGAATTCTCGTTTGCATCTTCAGACTCGGAATCAGATATATCGCGCTTTGGCATTTCGTTTTACTTGGGTGATCTGTTTCTCATTAAAATTGACGAATTGAAGTTTGCAAGTTCAAGATTTTGGGCGGGTTTAGACTGCGGAGTATATGGGGCGGTTAAGCCCCAGAGATGTCTGTTTTTTGGTCAGAAAACATCAACACAGACTATTGCTTATCGCCAAAAAAGGAACCGGTCGGGGGGGGGGGGGGGAGAAATAAAACAGATAATTGTCTTCCTCCTTTTTTTTTTTTTTTTTGGGTCAATAAAACGCGGAAAACTGCATAATCAAACAGACGAAAAACAAGAGTTCAGGTCAGGTTCCCTTAAACTCTCTCATACGCAAGTGATAGCGGTTGATAAGGGTACAAAAATTACTCTTCATCACATATGGAAGCTCAGCTAGATAATCATCATACAGCATATTTTTCCTAAGATTATGGATAACTATAACTTATATTAAGCTGGCATCATCAATAACATCCTTAAAGGATGTTCGGGATCACAACACCTAGCAATAAGATTAATGGCTTCCAAGCAATTTGTATAAAGAGCAACTCTCTTGTATCCTCTGGTCAGGCACAAATGAAGTACATGAATGATAGCCTACACCTCGACAAGTTTGTAACTTGTTACATCCTATTAATTTTAACCCTGAAAATAAGAAATATAAAATAGATCATGGGTCAAGCAGGGCAACCAACAGATAGATGGCACTTTTGAACGGTAACCAGACTAGAAATCGGATTGTTATTTTCAAAATATCCAGTCAATATTGAACAGAATGGGAAAGTGTACCTGAAATTCTAGAAAATTCTCAAAAAAACATGAAAAATAGGAGGGTATAGAACAATATTTGAGGCATGGAAGATAAAAATAATTTATTTTTTAATTTTATATATTTTCTTGGAATTTTGCTAATTAAGTGGAAATTGGCCAAATTAAATTATTTAAAATACATAGGGGTCTCAATAATTCCTGAAAACATTAGAAAAATTATTTGGAAGGTTATTATGAATTTTAAAATTGTTTCTAACTTCTAGAGATGCAGAGGTTAACTTTAAATTATTTAAAGTTGGAAGTATATCGGTAAAGGTCCAATTTTGAGAAAAATTCAATTGAAGGAGTTATAGAACAAAATAAAATCTAGGAAAATTAGAAAAATCTCTCCTCATCAAAAGGAAGCTATTAGCTCAAGGAAATAAATTTTTGGAGATAATGAATTTAACAAGATCAAAGAAAAATTTAACTGATATCATAAAATTATAAAATATAATAACCATAAGCTTGGTAGGGTCAAATTTTTTTTCTATTTTTCTGACCTAAATGGCTCTATTTGTGGAGGTTGAGGACTTATTATTCATTTTTTTAAGATAGTCCTTATAATAATAATAATTCTAACTAATACACTTGACTAGTAAGGATTATTTTATAACAAATAACACCTATTTATTCCAAATAAATAATTTAATTAATTTTTAGTGAACAAGGAATTATATTAAATATTGAAGATAATATTTATACAAATAATGATTACCCCAAATCATTTCTCTCTTTCCATTAACCTACACCTTCTCTCTCCCCTCTGGACACACACACGTATATATATTACTTCGTCATTATAACGTTGCAAACCATTGTCCCTTCTATCTTATTCCTATTTTTTTCCTTTAATTTATCTGTTTCCTTTTCTCCAATGCAAGGTGAACTGGTCTCGCGGTCTCCCCTGGGTGAGAGGTTTCAGTCTCTCCGTACGTGAGTGAGCTGGTGCCTGTGTGCTTAGTGTTCCAGCACCTCTCTCTCCGACGTTCGCCGGAGATGAGGCTGTCCAGCTTGGGGGTTTGGTTTTGGGGGTTTAGGATTTCAGTTTTTTCAAGTTTGTTATGGTCTTCTGTGATTTGGGGGGTGGGCATTAAGGAAAGGATAGTTTGGTTGGTGAAGGAGAGAAAGGAGGAAACGATGTGGATGGAAGGATATTTGACGGTGCTACAAGGGTGGTTAGATGACTGCAAAAATGAAGGCATTCCTCTTGTTGTTTCTTCTCTCTTAGTTGCCATTGATCAGGTATGGCTTTTTGAATCTTCTTCGATCTAGTATTGCTGGCTTTGGTTTCTGGTGGATCCTCTCAGTCACAGTTGCTTTGTATTGGGTTAGTGTTAGTGGTGTTGGTCGGAGTCTTTGGGGGCTGCTGTGGTGCTAATGCTGCTGTTGTTGTTTCTCTCCATGTGGTGGTGGTTGCGTGGGGCCTGTGATTTTGCGCCTTCATTAGCAAAAAGGAGATCAAAAGGGATGGGACCGAGGGGGTGGTTCTTTGAACCCCCATCCCTTATTTCTGGTGAAGTTTACAGTGTTCCTTTGCATTTTCTGGTAGCAGCAACAGAGGTAGTAGCTTAGGCTGTGTTTGGCATCGTGTTTCGTGGCCTAAACATACGTTTCCATCGGTAAAAGCTACTTTTGAGATTTTGAAGTTGTTTGGGTTGACTTCTTTTGGTGATGGGCTTATGGGGTCTAATGAATTGTTGGGCAGAAGCTACTTTTTTTTGCTTTTGGAGTGAGGAGCGGTTGAGGGTGAGGGACGGTGGGGGTGCGCAAGAGAGAAGAAAAGAACAAAGAGAAAAGATGATAATATTAGACATGAACAGTTTTTTTCTTGACATGCACATGTTGTAAAAGTGGAATAATAAATTAAGGATAATATTTTTTTTAGTAAATAATGAACATAAATTATCACAAAAGTAATTACTTAGTGTTTATATTTTTTTTTGTAAAAAAAGATATCTTTTTGTTTTTATTTTATTGGGGTTAATACAAATTTTGATCCCTCAAATTTAGACCCAATTTGGTTTTGGTCCCTGAAATTTAAAACGTGTGGTATTGGTCCCTCAAATTATGTCTGTTGGTCCCTGGCTTCTTGGGACCGTTAAATCCTGCTAATATGGAATTAACACTGTTATGTGCTAAGTTGGACCACATGACCTGGCAATGAACCACTGAGCTGGCATCCTGGTGTCACGTTAGCTGGAGATGGACCGAAAAAAGAAAAACAAAAGGGAATTAGAGGCAAAACACAGGGGACGACGGTGGAAGAAAAAACAAAAGGGAAAGGGTTTAGATAGAATCTACACGAGTGGAGAAAGAAAACAAAGACTTGGTGAAGGCAAAGGCAACAAAGATCCGGTGAAGGCGACGAAGAGTCAGCAAACGCGACCTAGATCTGCTAAAGGCGACGAACATTCGGCAAACGCAGGTAAGGATGACTGGTGTTTGGTAGGTTGTTGATATGGGTTTTCAATTTTTGCAATATCATATCTCTCCATCTCATCTCTAACATCTGATTCAACTTAGGCTATAGTCAGGTAGAATGGGGTCAAGTAGGAACTCATCATCGTCGACTGTGACTAGAAGGATGGGAAAAAGAGGATCTGAAAAATGCAGATGTGGGGACAATCTTGTGGTTTTCACTTCATGGACTGAACAAAATTATGGTAGAAGATTTCTTAAGTGCCCAAATTACAAGGTTAGTGGCTGATAAAATGTTTTTGTCACATTTGATTGAGTTATTGGATGTTTGGTGGGTTGTTTTTGTTTAATGGCCTCTGGATTTACTTGGCTTTCAGGAGCAATGGTCATACAATTATTTTGATTGGATTGATGCACTGGTTGAGAATCCAATGTCAGAGGAGTTGAAGAAGATGAAGAAAGATGGTGATGATATGAGAAGGAGGATGAAGAAACTGGAAGGTGTTATATTTATAGTTGTTATGGTGAATGTATTGTTGTTGTGTAAATTGCTGATGTAGCAGAAATTGAGTGGGATGCTTGTGTAATTGTGGCTAGAATTAACCTGCACATTCAGTCATTCCCAGATCTGGAAAACATGTACTAACATTTTAGGCGTCTGTTTGATTGAGTAAAAGTTCATTAATCTGGAAGAGGCCTTTATTGGTCATTGAGTTGAATATTCTTTGATTAGTTCGCTGTATTTATTCTAAAGAGAATTATGGCAGCAACATTTCCTGTGTTAACAGAAAGCAAAATGACACTTCAAATGTGGTAGGAAGAATAATGAGAGTTAATTTATTGATATCATGCACCGGATTGGTGGCACGCCCAAAAGTGCTCTCCCTTTTAGATCATTCAACTCGCTGTAAAGTTGGTAATAATCAGTATAAAGAATAGTTTTGTTTCTTTTTCTTTTTTTTTTGGTTGACCGGGGGTATAAAGAAGGGTGGTCACTTTGCATGGCAGGTACGCATGACACTCACATTCTTCTTTGACCCGCGGTATCAAGAAGAGTAGTATAATGTATATGTATATATTAAATTCCTTAGTGTAATTCTTTTTGTTTGGTAGAGATTCCTTCATCTAATTCTAAATATAAACCGTTAGTTATTTGAAAAAATTTAATTAAACCATTAGTTATCTATAATAATATTTGTTCATTTTATTAGTGAATAACTTGAGGGAAATTTTACATAACTAGGAGCCAGAACTGATTAAAATCTTATACATGAGACTAAAGCAAACACCTCAGGTAACTTATATACTTAAGACAGGAAGACACATCTATCCATAACTTATATACTTAATATATACGATTGTTTCCTTTTGATAGGAAGACACCTTCATCCATGATTTTGAAGGTCACAAATATATCCAAAATATGCTGCAAACTAAAGTGATAAACATTTTGAAGGTTACAAATATATCCAAAATATATAATTACACAAGTGACAAATAGTTCGACAATATACTTCTTACGTAAAGCCAAAATACTTCCAAAACATGCTTCATTCATGAAGGCACAATACTTGCTCTATTTGCTTCCCATTGCAATTTTTAATGTCAAGGTTGACAGCTACCCAGAGGAGTTGCAACAATTGACTCTTGAGTAGAAGATGATTGCTTTATCTTGATTGGAAGCTTGTTAGGTCTAGTGGGTTGCTTGCAAGTCCGCCGATTGTGTCCTTGTTTTCCACAATTAGAGCATAAGAAGGTGCGATATCGTCGCTTCTCATGTTCTGTCTCAACTGATTGTTGTTCATCCAATCCTTTCTTCCGGTTTTTTTGTTGGCCTCCCAAGACGCTTGTGATATACGGGAGGTTCAATGGGCTCACCATCAGCTTTCTCCCACAATGTGTCACCATTGATTGGCTCAATAACAAGTGAGTAACACGCAACAAATGATTGCAATGTTAAATACTTGTCCACATAATCATGTGGATCCTCCCTCTTGGCATAAATACAAGCAGCTGCATGTCTGTAACATAATTAATGCTTAGAATTCAAACAATAGAGGGAAAAAACAGATTTACTATGAAATATAGAAAGCAAGCATATATAATTTTACCTGCACGGGATTCTATTTAGTTGCCACCAATAACAACTGCAAGTTTTGGCGGTGAGATCAACCTTGAACTTGTGAGTATTGAATGACACTTCATACCGATTGTTTCCCGCATATCTAGCCTCCCATTTTCGACATTCTGCAACTTCTTTGTCCAATCGCTTGCGAGGTCACGGACACACAATACCCTTGTCATGATACTTATCGGCTTTAACACGATTTTCTGCAAACCGAGTCATGAAATATGTCCAGATTCAATCAAGCAAACTAATAATTGGAAGTTCTTGTGCCTCCAGTAATCTTCCATTGAAAGACTCCATGATATTGTTTGTGATCATATCGCATTTACTGTATGCATCAAAATGAGACCTGCTCCAACAACTTGGAGGGATTGCCATCAAATGATCATGAGCTCCGCTACAAACAGCCTTCAACTCATTTATACAATCTCTCCAATCAGATTGCACGGTTGCCTTTGCAGCATGGAGAACTAAGTCACGAATGAGAGTGCCTCCTCCATATTTGACCTTGATATTAGAATACAAATGACGCACACAGAATCTGTGTTCCGCACCTTCTAATAATTCTTCAAATGTTGGCACAAGACCCTGCGCAACACAAGCCACAACTATGAATCTGCACAACACAAACCGCAAGTATATTCCACACCTTCTATGTAAATGACAGCTTCATACTAAACCAGTCCGGATCCAAACAAATTTGAATCTGAATGTGAACCCTTTTTACCACGTGTGAGTGACAACTAGATACTAACCTTGATGATCCAATATATTCGAATCTAAATGTGAAACCCTCTTACCACGTGTTGGGAAACAAAAATAAAAAACTGGGTGATGAACGACTGAAAGCATGCTTGGTCAAAATATCTTTTTATATACTATGCTTTCGTGACCCAAGCATGCTCGGTGGAAAAAGTAATATGCTTTTGTTTATTCTGTAACTTTTTCGTCCACCATATAAAAATCATCAAAAGCTGAACAAAAAACCTTAATTTAACTATCACAATAATTTAACATACAAATAATCCAGAATCTATATGATACAAAGAAAAGGTAAAGAACAAAGAAACTGTATGATACAAAAAATTTAAATATCACAATCGAAGTTTCATGTAAAGAAATATTTGATACATTTAAGATACAAATAATACAGAAAAAGATTAACTTACTTTTTGTTGGTCTGATATAAATACCCATCTCCTTTCCTGCATACTCCCAATGTCATTAAATAGATTTTTGAAAAACCATGTCCATGAGTCTCTACTTTCTGACTCAACCACGACCCATGCTAATGGAAAGTACTGGTCATTAGCATCACGTCCCACAGCCACAAGTAATATCCCTCCATATGGACCCTTTAAGAAACACCCATCTAACCCAATGATTGGTCTACAACCCGCTACAAAACCTCGCTTCACAGCACCTATGCACTCATATAATCTCTTGAAAACAGGAGGATGATTTATGCAAGGCTGATTAGTAAGTAATGCAAATGTTGTTCTTAAGTTACATTTCCTCACTTCATTACAATAATCTCTTAATTTATGATATTGCTCCTTATAGTCACCATCAATCAATGCCTTGGCCTTTTTTCTAGCCATGCGGGCCTTCCACACAGAAATATCAACCATGTAGTGTTCTCTCACTGACGCAATTATATCCGCCAACTTGATGTTTTTGTTTCTCTTCATTATGTGAACTAACTTTTCTGCAATCCACTTGTAGCTAGCATTCTTCCCTTTTAAGGATACCCCTCATTTATGTTTTGAGTGTAATGTCTTCAACCGATATGTTAACTCACTTCTCACTTGGCTCACAAACATTAACCACTTGCATTCAACATGTGCACATTTGACCCTACACCTCACCTTATCATTCTTCACAAATTTGATTTCATATCCATGGAGTAAGGCATACTCTCTAACTACATCTTTAAACTGACCAATGGAAGTAAACTCCATACCTAACACAAATTTAAACTCTTTGCACATCTCTACCGGATTATATCTTACTCTGTTAACGTTGCCTTCTCCTTCATCGTCTTCTTCACTTGATCTTTCACTTTCATCAATTCCCTCTGACTCATGATCAGATAACAAGCCCAATATATCTTCCTCCCTTGTCTCAACAACATTCTTTTGGCCTCTACCATCAGGTTTGGCTCTCCAAAATTCTGAACTCTTTACAACTTCTTCTAACACATCATTTACTCCCACATCTACATATTCTGAAAAATAATCATCATCAATTTTCTCCTCTTCACTGTTCTCAAAGTCTGAGAACACAGACCCTGAGTTTGCTTCGCTCCCTTCCTCCCCACCACTATCACATCTATCACTTTTCCCTTCCTCCCTATCCATATTTAACCTATCATGGCAAAATAGTAAACTAAACCATGACAAAATGAAACAAAACATTACATAACAGCAGTCAACATGATATCAAAATTACTTTAACAATAAACAGAGCACAATGTAAGCAATGCATGAACCACACCCATTGTTCGGCAACAACATTGTACCCATAGACCATATCATTGAAATGAACAGCAATATAAACAAATTATACACGATTGTTCTCTGGTTTTGTTTAACACTGCCCAAGGACACTCATCAAAACAGAGCACCAATGGGTTCAACTAACACAAATCAAAACAGAGCACCCACAGACACTGACCACAGATTGCATGATGAACAAGATGGGACTTTGAGTCACTTAAACTCAAACGCACAATGTAACTCCAATGTCAACACTATTTCAAACAGATTGCAAGATGAACAGGACGAGACTTTCAATCAATATGTTTAAAGGTTCATATTTGCAGCACTTACCCTTTGACAACAGCGATGCGTACACAATGGTGATCAACAGTGTCTTCCTCGCCTTTCAACAGACAGAAGCAAATAAATATCAATTATAAACCTTCTTATCACGACGGCCGCCGGTAAAAGCACTTTTTTGGTGACGCCCACATCAGTAATCGTCGGCCACGAGTGGGTCCTCTAGACCTAGCCCTTTCCCCTTTTTTTTCCCTCCACAAACCGTGTCTGTCGTTATGTTTGTCGTCCCCTGTGTTTTGCCTCTGATTCCCCTTTTTTTTTTTCTTTTCTTCAGTCCATCTCCAGCTAACGTGACACCAGGATGCCAGCTCAGCGGTTCATTACCAAGTCATGTGGTCCAACTCAACACATAACGGTGTTAATTCCATATCAGCAGGATTTAACGGTCCCAAGAAGCCAGGGACCAACGGACATAAACGGACATAATTTGAGGGACCAATACCATAAGTTTTAAATTTCAGGGACCAAAACCAAATTGGGCCTAAATTTGAGGGACCAAAATTTGTATTAACCCATTTTATTGTTTAAAACTTATTATTATAATATTACTTAAAAAATTTATGTCCTTTTCAGTTATTTTGTATCTAAACTTACTTTTTTATCATTCATCTAAACAAGTTTTAGTTTCTCAAACTGACTTTTCTACAAAAGTTAATACAAATATAAATCATATTACCCTGTCTGACTTTTATCTAATCTGATTTATGTAAAAATCAGATTGAAAAAAGTAACTTCTCTCACCGCCTATCCAAACACATCCTTAGTAGCTCTCTAAGTGTGGCTTAGGGTTAGGATTTGTGTCGGTGGTGTTTTCTTGGGCTTAGGGTTTTTTTTGTTGTTTGGGTCCCAGTCCCTATTGTGTTTTGATTTCTCTGTTGGACCTTATTGTTGGTGTTCCTTTAATATATATTTCTTCCGGTAAAAAAAAAAATGTAAGGTGAACTGGTGGTCTGAAAAAAATATGGAATGGAAATGAGATGCTTTCCAAGTCTCCACAGGGCCCGTTTGTTCAAAGAACCGATTGGTATGAAAATAAATGAAAAAGAATTGAAAGGAAGAGAGTAGAAAATTTTCAGCCGAATGAGCATTTGGTTTATACTAAAATTAAAAATAAGTTCAATAGAAAATTTATATTAATTGGATAAAAAGAGGTGGGAAAATTGAACTATTTTACCGTATTACCTTAACGAAATAATATAATATTATTAGATAAAAAATACCTTTTTAAAAAAAGACAAAATGATACTCGTCTGATCTTATTTATAAGGCAAAGAAAGAAGTTTTTTAGTCTTATTTATAGGGAACTGAGAGAATTTTTTTATATGAATGTACAATTTTTCACTTCATTTATTATTGTGTTGACTTTGTTTATATGAGGTATAATGTATATTAAATAGGAATAAAGTTTGAAAGTTGTTAAATTTTAAATTAGAGTTAATAAAATTTAAGGTTTTTTTTTGTCTGTGTGAAATATATTAGAAGTGACTTATAAATAGAATAAGAGAAGTATAAATAAAAAATGCTTTTTTAAACTCACGCAATAATAATATTATTAAAAAAATTCAATGAATTATCATTTAAATAAATAAATATGAATATTTAATTTAAATATTAAAATTACTATACATATTAAGTGATTGAAAAAAATTTAAAAAGATAATTAAATAACAAAATATAAATAAACTATATTAAAAAAATTCAATTCAAATATGAAAAAGAAATATAAATATTATATAAAGATTATACCTTTTTTTTTTTTAAGAACTGTATTTTTTTTTAATTTTGTGTTTATATTTTTATCAATTGGGCATTTTTGTTGCAGCAAAAATTAATATAATATATTTTAAGCTAGTCCTATTTTGTTTTTAAATTGTAAGATGTAATATGACTAAGGAACAACATATCTTTCTTAATTTAAACACAAATTAGGCAACTGACATATCAGTGAAAAACTTACTGAACTTGTTTTTAATGCAACAATACCCATTCAAAAAAATATTTTTATTTTAAAGTTATGTCTGATGAAATTTAATCTTTAATATGACAAGAAAATGAGTAAGCAAATTCAAATTTTCTTGCATTGAGTTGAATTTACTCAAGAAAATTTAGGTTTTCTTGTATTTCCAATCTAGTTGCACTGTATCATGCTCTGCCTTTTAGGCAGCGAACGGGATAAGTTTTCAAATAAAAAATGGTGACATATTGTAAACACCCGCAGTAAGGAATACAGATATAACTTATCCTTGATAGATATAACTTGAATTCAATGGCCTTGGAATAGCAAATAACCTTCTATTACAATTTAATAGCTTGCTATCTTCAAAGCAATGTATATATCACTAATTTCCTGAAAATGTTGGCCTTTTTTATGGGACTTGAACATAATGACTAAAAATTTCTTAAAAGAGAGGGAAATAAAACCAACGGGAACTATTAAAAGGAATATAAACAAATAATCAAATTTGGGAAAATGAATAAAAAAGAAAACTGTATATAAAAATTAAAGCTACAGGAAAAATGTTCAAACTAGATAATCCATAAAAGAGATGAATATATAGTGTCCAAAAGCCCAAGCATGGCAAGATATGGATTTAGAGTGACGTTGTAATGGAAATCCCATTAGCATACAACTTATAAAATAAAAAATGTATTTAAAAAAAAATATATTCTACTAAGTACTAAGCAAGATGTTAACTTTAAGTGAAAGAAGAGACCTGAAAAATTAAAAACGAGAAGCTGCACGAGGTGCTTATTTTCCAGAAGAAAAAAAATTTATAGTCACTAATAATCACTAACAAAAAGGCTGTCTTCAGATTTAGCGAACTCTAGTTGCGTGTTTTTATCAATGTTTTAGGGGTAAATAGGTCAAATGCGCTTTGGCGCAGGCGACTGAAAATTTGTTCCCACCACTTTGGGTGGAATCAAATTTTTAGTTATTCAAATGAAAATCAGCTTGCCCCTTCCATTCCATTTTAGCCTCTTTGGCGAACCAAACTAGCGCTACCAATGGAAAATTTGGATTTTTTATTTTCAGACCCAAATTTTCCTTGAACTACACTTGCCCTTAGATGTATATTATATTAGCTATAAAGCTTAGGCGTACTTTCTATTTACTCTTGTTTCAAAAATATTTTTCTGCCTCCATGATAAATACCTTTTATTGTCAACAAAATATAAATACTAATATTTTACTATGACTTTTAATTTAAAAACATGATGCTATAAAAGAATATGATAATTTTTTTTTATTCTTAGCTAGCATTACATTAATAATATATATGCATATATATATACACACACATATACAATAGATGGATTTTAGAGGGTAGTTTTAAGATATTAAGTAGCTTTAAGATAGTTTAGAGTAATTCTAGAATAGTTTTAAGTTATGCATTGATAGATATTTATGTGAAATTTTGTAGACTCTCTTTGAGAGTTTTAGAGTATCATCGTATGATTACCTATGAGCTAAGAAATAGCAGGTAACTCTAAAGTTTCTTCCATATACATATTAATAGCTTGTAGATGTTATTGGTGTTAGATATCTTGTAATAAACTAATTATTTTAGTATGTAATATGTATATATATGTGTTTATATACGATAAATATTGAGTTTCCAAATAAATAAAGCTTTAGTATATATGCATTTCTATTTCTTATGCTATTAATTAATATTTATAATGATTATATATATCTTGATAGTTATAATGATTGAATTACAATGAATTGTGCCATTGACGATCTATATTAGATTTATATTACTTTGAGAATGATAGTATATTTGTTGATACTTTGTAGTATATTATGTTACAGCATTATTATTATTATGACATATGCATTTTTATGGTGGACTAAGCTCATATGGAGATTGATATGTTAATTAGTTGCCTTGTGACATGCCATCACTCAGTACATAGTGGATGGCACTTGTCAAGGTCCCTCTTTCTATGTTTTCCTTTGGCTAGAATTGTATTGGAATTTGTAGGACACGTGATACCTCCTTAGTTTTGCTTTTTAAGGAGGGGAGTCATAATCTAGACTTGAGCTCTATACTTTTTGTAACATTGCGAATTTTGAGCCAAGAAATACTAGAATTAGCTTGAAATGGGTAGACTACCAAACCTCTTGGTAGGTGTTCTAGAATCTTTCTAAAAGAACAAGAAGATTCCTAAAGACTAAATCGCAAAATAAGAGTTTTTTAGAACTATGGGACAAGTAAATTAGAACTCTAATAAAGTCTTGAGGACTCGAGTATAGGAACTGGAGATGATTAAAGGCCAAAAGTTATGCTGAGAATTTTAATGAGATCATTCCTAAGACAAAACCCAAACAAAGACTTAATCATAAATTTAGAAAGTTTCGGGTTGGAAAAAAGCAATGATAAAAATTATGCCCAAAAATTCTAGAAACATCCTAAAAAAATTCTAGAAAAATGAGAAATAAGGTTCTGAGGCCTATAAGAGGTTAAAAATGACAAAAAGGCCCCTAGAGCAAATTGATAAAATTTTCAAGGTTTAGGCTAATTATGAATGTTAGCCTAATTGAATTATTTAAAATATGAAGAGGCCTTAGATAATTGGAGAAAGATGGAAAATAATACTTGAGAAATTATCACAAGTTTTAAAAATGATTTCGTCCTAAGAAAGTGAAGAGGTTGGCTTTAACATAATTTAAAACTAATTTATATATTATCTGAGAAAAGTCAAAATAAACAGTCTATGGATTGACTTTTGACCTGAAAAAAATTAAAGAAATTTTTGTTGATGAAAAAGTAGTACTGATACCTAAAGATAGATACTCGAAGTCATAGACCGATAAAGAAAATTCAGTCAAGTTACTCCAAAATAAATGTTATTAAATATTTTAATAAAAGAACAAAAGGAAAAGCATCACTCCCTCTTTAGGCATATTATATAATGCCATTTAAAGTTATTTGTAATCAAATTTGGCATCCTTAAAGTATACATCTTGAGCTTAAAACAAGTGGTAGATCACTTAAAATGAACGTATGTGCTAAAAGTTATGATTGCTCAAGTTTAAGGCAAAGAAACTGGAAAGTACATTTTTTACCAAATGAACAGTAATCTTTCATGAATTAACTATACGAATTGAGAAGTGTTGAGCTCATATTTATAGTTTTTCTCTATAGTAATTAAAAGAGCTTTAAATGGAGACTTGAATTACCCCAATAAGATTTTTCTATAATAAGTTATAAATTTTCAAAGTTGGACTGAAAATATGAAATTTACCAGTGAACAGTAACTCGAAAAATAAATTTCAAAATTTCAATCTATGGGCTTGTTTTGTGATTCACTTGAACTATAATGCTTTCAGACGCAAATTAAACAAGGTGAATGGAAGGATGTTTCACCTTTGGCGTATATCTCAAGTACTAGTGAGCTTGGGAAAAATCCAGTTAAATGTATTAGTTTTAATTGGACTTTATGTTAGCATATAGTTCCAACCAGCAGAATAAGAATAAACGGTGATATAAGGAAGGCTTCATAATGCATTTATTGCTGTGAAATACATGTTGTAAATGAATATGTATTGATTATGTTATTGATTTAATGATAGAATTTTGGTACAATTTTGACACTTGATGTTTAAAAAGGAGTAGAGGAAGGCCGAAGACAACATTTAATGAAATCATTAAGAGAGATCTTTCAATTAACAATATATCCAAAGATTTGGCTTTGCATGGCATTATGCGATCCATGTAGCTGATCCCACCTAGTGGGATAAGGCTTTGTTATTATTGTTATTGTTTGCTACTTGATGTTTATAAATATATACTAATATACAGCTAGTTTTAATAAAATACATACGTGTCAAGTTCGAAAATCAGAGAGCACACTTATTAGGAGGACTTTAACTTTAACACTCCTGGCCTGATAGAAACTAGTCTTAAGCCCAAATAGCTAAGAATACTCTGAGTCAAACCAAAAAAAAAATACATATGTGTGTTTGGTTTGTATATGTTAGGAGTTTCAATTGTTATTGAAACATTAGATCTCATCCATTCCTTTAACATTTTGAGATGATAGATCTAGTAAGATTCAAGAAAAGGCATTAACAGAGTGAGTCAGGAGGGTTTGTTTGTGCTCCATGAGTACATGCTATGTTATATATAATGCCTCAACCAAACAATCCTTATACTTAACAAAGGTACTTCACAAATAGCCCACAAGAACTTCTAGTATCTAAGTCATCAAAGAAAACATATTCAACTCCAAAGGTTTATAACATCTCATAGATCCAAAATAAATCTTTAAAAAAAACATAACAAAATAAAATATGAAAATTTTAGAGTCATGGCAAGTAAATATAACACAGCATGTACTTGAGGAGTACAAAAGAGCTTTAATGGCTCACTCCACTAGTGCCTTCCCTTGATTCTTGTTAGATCCATTATTTGAAATTTGTTAATGAAAGGGATGAGATCTAATATCTCAGTAACAATTAAAATTTCTATCGCATGCAAAAATATTTTATCAAAATTATATAAATGTAAGTATGAATTTAAATACAACAAGCGTTCAAATTGTACCAAAATTCTATCATTTAAATCAACAACATAACAAAACAATATTTATTGACAACATGCATTATGCCACTTCTCTTTTATCACCATCTATTCTTATTCTACTGACAAGAGCTATAGGCTAATACATAGTTTAACCGAAACTAATCCAATTAACTAGACTGTACCGAGCTCACCAATACTTGAGATATACCCAACCAAAGGTATAAAGCTCAAATCCAAACTATGTCTCCCCTCCTTAAAGAACAAAACTAAAGGGGCCGGTGTCACATGTCTCATAACTCCAATGTAGTCCCAGCCAAAGAAAAACATAGAAGAAAGGGCCCTGACAAGTGCCATCTACTATGCACCAAGTAATAACAAACCATGTGGTAACTAAACAACATACCAATCTCCTTCTGATTTCAGCCCATTACAGAATGCATATGACATAACAAATAATGCTCTAATAGAATATACCAACAAACATACTACTATTCTAAATCAGAAAACAATAAGAATCCGTAATAGATCTTTAGCGGTATAATTCATCATAATTCCATTATTATAACCATCAAGCTATTGAATTATTATAAATATTATTTAATAACACAAGTCATGACTAAAATAATTAAATATACGTACTAGAACCCTATCTATTTGAAAACTTAATATTTATCATGTATCTGAATATATATATTTCATATTAAAATAATTAGTTTTCAAGATATCCAATAATAATAACATTGACAACCAATTAATATGTATACAGAAAAAATTTTGGAGTTATTTGCTACTCCTTAGCTTACAGGTAACCACACAATGTTACTTCGAAACCCTCCAAGAAAGTCTACAAAGTCATAGATAAATATCTATCAATATATAACCAAAAAAAAAAATATTCTAAAGCTACTCCAAAATCCTAGAAATACTCTCTAACCTAGTCCCCACAAAACCAGCTATTTTATTTAGGTGCAAAAATATCTGGGGTTAATTGCGAAACATCCTTCTTTAAATCTCCTTTTAGTATGCATCTAGAAGCCTTACGGTTCAAGTAGATCGCGAAACAAGCCCATAGATTAAATTTTGAAATTTGTTTCTTGTATTACTATTTACTGGTTACTTCCAGATTTTCGGTCCAACTTTAAAAATTCATAACTAATTATAGAAAATTTGTATTGAGGTAGTTCAAAATTCTATTTGAATATCTTTCAATTCTTTATA